CTTCCTCGTGGAGGTCATCGGGCATGACTTGCTGGGAGGGGGGGGGGGGATGCGCCCCCTCAACGTCTTCGACTTTCTCGACTTCCTCGTCATCGTCTTGATGGTGGTCATTCGGAACTGAAAAAATAAAAACAAATTGAATTGTTTCCGGTATCAACAAAATTGAATTGATGAAAGATGAAAAATAGAAGATCTCACCAAAGCAAAGCGGCTTTACGGCGGACGGCTGATGCAACTTACCAAAATTGCTGAAGCAAAGCGGAAAAAGAAAACTTGCGATGAAGATGTAAGCGTGAGAGGAAATCCACGAGATGCGGTAGCAGAAAGGTAACGGATGACCTCTCTGAATCTTACTTGAATAAAGGACTTGAAATCATACCCTTTCTCCTCAATACATTCGGAGAACTTTTCTATTGCATCAGTTTGGACAGCAAGTATTAAAGCGGATTCATTAACCTTCCTTCTCTTAGGAGCAGTGACGAAGACCAGATTCTGTCTGGCAACAATCTGTTCGAGAATTCCTCTCTCTTGTTCGGTTAAATCGGCATCGAATCTACGCTTCTTACCTCTTGAATGATACCTCTTAGTTGGTAACCTCACTTTATGATTATACTTAGTACAACAATCATAGAACTTTCAAATATGAAGTAAAATATTATCAAGTTTCATCTGTAGAAAGTTAGTATTAGTAAAATCAATAGCGTAAACATAGATTTACTATAATTTTGGGCTGACTAACCTTATTAAATATTAAAATAAACATAATTCAAATTGATAAATCAAAAGTTCAAAATGATAATTCGTCACCCCACATGAAATATCCGATCTTACCTACTTCCTGCTTTTGCAAATTTAAATTAAATAATTTAGCACAATTAATGAGTAACTAAATAAATTGCTAAACACGCCATTGCTAAACACGATTTCATCATTACGTGTAAACACATCATACATATTATGTATTCTCTGCCACTGGAGTGGTTTCGTCCTGTTCGGTGGCTGTTCAATTATTTCCAATTCTGCCATTACTTCATCTTCTGTAGGTGGTGGCGGGGGAGTGAGGGCTCTTGCTACATCTTGAGAAGGAGGGACTTCAGGACCGGGCTCCATTTCGGCATCCTCGACTTCGTAGCGTTGAAAAGTGACCCAAGGAGGTTGAATATCTGGTAGATCGTCCTCCAATTGTAAAGATGAACCGGACATGTCATACTCGCAGTAACTGTGCTGCATCTGTTGCATGCCGGATATCTGAAGTGTGGCCATATCTATTGTATTTCTATCATCTTGCAAATTTGTTCTAATTGCATATTCGGCAGCTACCGTTCTTAAGTATTCTTCATATTGTCTCGTAAATCAAAATTCAATTCATTGCAGATGCGTATCATTTCATATGCTTCATTGGTGCATTCGTAATATGTAATTAGGGTAAGGAAGCCTTCATCCTGGATCAACTGCTTGATAACTTCTCTTGATGGTAGTGGCAGATACATTGCGTCCATATTTTATGATGACTCAAAAGCACAAACTATAAACTGTTGTTCTCACTTTGGCAGACGAGTACCGAACCAACTCGATTTTGCACTATAGTCCGACAAGGGGTAGGACCAAAATAATGTAGTCTTTACACAGTAAAAGAAAATGTTGTTAATGATGAACTTTGAATGTACTGTAAAGACTTGGTAGACGTTTACTTTTCTTAAAAAATGCGCTTTAAAAGAACAGTACCGAGGATATCCTACAGGTATTTAATCTGAAAAAAACTTCATTTACACATTCTTGCATAGCTTTACCTCGCAAATAGTTACATAGCAGCTGCAAAATTCAATGTATTTTTCGAGGTAACAGGAGACTGCTTGGCCGGTTTTTTTCTGCCTGCACACTTCTTCTTGCGCGCCCCCCCCCCCCCCCCNGCGCACTTTATAATTGACTCGGCGAGAACTGGAGACTATGTTGTAGTTTTGATCTATGATTCAATTTTCAAGGTGTTCCTTTTCTAGGCCGTGTTTTGTGAGGCGAACGATCTATTCGACAGTACTCCTCCAAATCATCTCCGAAAAGCTGAATTTCTTTATTATATTGCAACAAGTTATTATATCACAAGTATTATATTGACGAAGTCTGGCGAAATTCCTAAAATTGCTATTAGTGTTATTGCATTGAAAAATTTGCCTTGAAAAATTCTTGTCTATCTTGCGCTGGCAACTTTTTTAATTTGAATACTTAAAGTCACCGTATTGTTCAAGACGTAGCATTGGTGAAGTTTAAATCAAAGAATCTGCTGAGTTCAGATGCCATGAATTTCTTGAATATGGCACCCAGATTGATACCATCATTATATTTCTCAGTAAGGGCATGACATGCGATGGTAAAAAAAGGAACAGTTTTTGTTACCTTCAGCCATAGAATCGAACTCTTTGTTGACTTAATAAATTTTCTGATTTATAATTAAATGAGATTTTCATAAATTGATGGAGATCAAAAGCGTTACTCGTACGGAATTCAACAGTTTCCCTTACACGTTTCGCTTTAACCTTGGTCTTATCAAAAAAACGTGCGCTTTTTGCATCCGTGATACTTCACGCTGCATTCTCGGTTTCAATAATGTCGCAATCCGGCGATAAATGGGCCGAGTTAATCAGAAAGGAACCAACCTACATGAAGTTGAAATTAGGAATAAGAGTTNCTCCAAATCATTTCCGAAAAGCTGAATTTCTTTATTATATTGCAACAAGTTATTATATCACAAGTATTTTATTGACGGAGTCTGGCGAAATTGCTAAAATTGCTATTAGTGTTTTTTGCATTGAAAAATTTGCCTTGAAAAATTCGTGTCAATCTTGCGCTGGCAACTTTTTTAATTTGAATACTTAAAGTCACCGTATTGTTCAAGACGTAGCATTGGTGAAGTTTAAATCAAAGAATCTGCTGAGTTCAGATGCCATGAATTTCTTGAATATGGCACCCAGATTGATGCCATCATTATATTTCTCAGTAAGGACATGACATTCAGTGGTAAAAAAAGGAACAGTTTTTGTCACCTTCAGCTATAGAATCGACCTCTTTGTTGAGTTAATACATTTTCTGATTTATAATTAAAAGAGATTTTCATAATTTGATTGAGATCAAAAGCGTTACTCGTACGGAACTCAACAGCTTCCCTTACACGTTGCGCTTTAACCTTGGTCTTATCAAAGAAACGTGCGCTTTTTGCATCCGCGATACTTCACGCTGCATTCTCGGTTTCAATAATTTCACAATCCGGCGATAAATGGACCGAGTTAATCAGAAAGGAACCAACCTACATGAAGTTGAAATTAGGAATAAGAGTTTTGAAGTTTCATTCCTGCGTAAGGCTCAACGTAAAACATAAACTTGAACCTCTCTTCTCACATTTTTTTTTCTTTCTTTTTTCCCCCTTTTTTTTCTTTTTTAGACTTTCAGTTTTTGGCAGGAGAAACTTTACACTGGAAAAAAACACATTGGATCTAGAGTCCAGACTCTTATTAACATGGACAAGAAAAAGTACTCTTGATTCAATCAGATTTAAGCTGAAATTAAGAACCAAGCCTCTTAATTTGAGCGGATTTCCTTTTGATTTAAGCTTAAATCTGATTGAATCAAGAGTTCTTTCTTGTTCAAGTTTTTAAGAGTCTGGACTCTATATCCAATGTTTTTTTTTTTCCAGTGTACGGCTAGTGCAACTCAAAAACATTCTTAACTCATTTTTTTCGAAAATGCGGGTTGGCTCTTTACCGATAAACTCGGTCCAAATTCTCTTATGAAATGAGGGATTCCCGCCGGACCGGCGACACGGCGGGAGTTTCCTTCCACTTCCGCTCGAGAGAAGGGGGTGGGGGGGCGAGGTGCGCGGAGTTAATACCATTTGGAGCCGCTTTTAAGTGACAAACTTCTCTCACTTCTCCCGGACGATTGTGAAAGTTATGACGCTCCGTATTATTATTTGCGCGTACGACATAACCCGCTCGCTCGCACTCTAATCTTCCCCTCGGATTTCGATGGATTAATTGACGTCGTTATTATCATCCGCCGTCACGGCCCGCGTCACCGCCACCCGCACTCGACGCGCCGCCCGCACCGCGCCAGGTCGAAAGCGATCGCTCACCGGTGGACGCTCGGTGTAGATGAGCGCTTTTCGCTCCGCCCGGCGTCCTCTCGGATTGACACTCGGCTTAAACCTAATTGCGATCAGCCCCCTAGCCCCCTCCCCCCCGCGGGTCTGGATCCGCCGGATCGATGACATGACGTCACGGCGTGACGGCCCTCCGAAATGGAGACCGTGCACCCGTTCGCAGAGATGGAAAGTGTTTCATAAGGCTCGAATAAATTTCACAAAAGTTGAAATTTATTAATTTTTTCTAGAATTATTGATTGAACCTTTGAAGGTCTGAAAGCGTTTCGGATGGTCTTTCTGTTGATACTGCGATGTTATGCTACTCTACTGATGGTGCCAGACACAAAGAGAGGGCAAAAAGGGGAGTTTAGAGAGAAAAACCCCAAGCTAACCTCTAAACTAAACGAAAACATTTGCAACGCGCGAATGTTTTAGGCTTGGGGTAAAACATTTCAAAATTTAGAATCACTGTTCCTAGGCGTTGGCGTTTCGATGTTTATAAAATCAAGTTAACAAAGCATATACAATATTACTTTCCGGTAATCTTACTTTGTTACGACTTGTCTGAACGTATCTAAGAAATACGTGCGATTTGTACATAGTTTATTTCATATTCAATGAAACAACTTCAGTTTCGTTTACTTCTAAATCCCACATCCTTTCCTTCCGGAACCTGGTACAGTCTGCAGTGAATTTAGCGAAGAAAACGATGGAGAGACTGGAAAAATGATTTTCACGTTGGCATTCATCACTTGTTTTCGAATTTTCTACCTGTGAGGCCCAGTAGGCCTTGAACTTTTTTTTCGATTTATCACTTTGCCTGTATAGAACTGTCTAATGTTTATTGTTGTCCGTTCCATTGTTTCAGTTCCTCCTCAAATACAAGTTCCTAATCAACTTGTCGGTGCTCCGGAAGGCACTGACGTTACCCTGGAGTGCTACGTGGAGGCTCATCCCAAGTCAATAAATTACTGGCTTAGAGAAAACTCAAGTAAGTTTCTCGGTTCAGTGCGATTGCTTCACTGTAGTCTT